AATACCTGACCTTCCTACTGAGCAAGGTATTTATAGAGAGCCCCAACGCTGGGCCAATGGTCTCCGTTATGGGATGAGTGTTCAGGCCCATAATAGATCATTTCCAGGATTTCTACGTGGAGGTAGGGATAAGCAGCTCATGCTCATCATCTTGGTCAATTGCTCCACATTCCCCGGATAGTGGGATAATGGGTGGACTTTCCCGTTACGAAGTGCAGAATGGTTCTACGAGATGTGCAAACCAAGTTGATGACGTGTCTTCGGGTGAAGATCACGTGGGGAAATATCTTCTACTGGCCCCAAGGGATTGGGTCAGGATTCTGGGCCGTTCTCGACGCAGGACTGGATTGGGATGTGCTCGACGTTGAGTCAGCCATAGGACCAATCCAGAACAATAATCAACTAAGAATATGCAGTTATAAGTTGTGGCGGTAAAATTAATGATTGAAAAACTCCTAGTTTTACTTTGAATTCATCTAAGAAATTAGAGAATTATCGTCTAAATTAGTAAGTTGCACTCCAACAAATTAGATACAGTGGTCTTGTTAATTTATCGTATAATTATCGCGTAATTATTATCCATTTGATAAACATTCATCAACATATTTAAATAGGAAATTCAAAGAAATTTCTTATCGCTCTTCATAATCAAAACATTGCCCTGAATATTTTCTTGTTATTATTTTTCATACCGATTATCTTTGAAAACTCTCCTTTTATTTATTTGAAAATGCATCAATATCACGTTTTTTTAATTTATAATATTTGTGGAGACGAATAATTTTTTATTTCGAACATATATTTTACTTGCAGTCACAAATAATGGTTACTTCAACAGAATTGAAAACCACACACAATAGACTTTCTTAAACAATACAAATAGTTAATAAGAAGAATATAAATAAACATGATGGCTAATAGGATATAAGAAATAAAGATGTGAAGATTACACCATAGAAACCTATGATAGTGTCTTTGCATACACAGAAATTTTTTTTACTTTACTTCTAGTCATAGTTGTGACTAGAACAAAGAAAGACCAGAATTGAAAGAATTTTTCTTTTGAATTGATTGTTGTTAATAATGTATTGTTGTTTGGTTTGTATATATATAAACCAATTCGATAGAAATGGATGAGTTTCTAGATGGTGCTGGATGAATAATTTCCAACTGGCATTATTTTTTATATTATAAAATGCCACTTTATTAATATTCCATTTATGTATGATGTAGAAAATCAAGCTCTTAAGATATTTAATTTTAAAAATCTACAAATGTAAATAATTCAATTGATATAGGTAGGTTTGAATGTATTAAAAGTTTTACTCACTCTATAAATGCATGAACAGAAATTCTGATAGGATTTTATTTTTCCCTTTAGTTATTAGACGTTTATAGTATATTAATAATTGTGTGATTATTTGAAATAATATTGAGAAATATTTTTTCAAAGATAATATAATAAAGTATTAACCAAAAATGAAATAAAGACATAATTGAATAAATTATGGCATTTTGTAACTTTTTACTTATTTAAAAAATTTAGGATTTAATTTTATCGTAGAGAGATATTAAAAAAAAACTTATTATAGAAATAAATTTACGCATTTTTTTTCTTATTTTAGTATTATAATTTGCATCTCTTTCGACACTAATTTTTAAAAATATCTTTTTTGTGATAATCTAAACTTCTAGCTATTAAACAAATATTATAAATTTTAGTAAGAGGGCTACTACAAAAAAAAAAAATATAGAACAACGCCAATATTATTACGGTCATTTGAAGGATTGTGGTGATATCTCTAAATTTATATGTTAATATGTATTTTTATTTGTTAATTAAAAGTTATAAATTTATTCATTACCAACGAATCGTGGTGATATCATATACCTACTTGTCTTCACCTTCGAGGTTCCATCTCGCAGTACCAACGAATTTGTGTTTTCTTCATTATTTTAGTTGTGCGTTTTATATGTGTATATTTTTATATAAAAATTAAAGTAATATTATTACGGTTGTGGCTTCGAACCTCTTCAAACCTCAATCTTCAAGTCAAAACCTTAGCCAATGTTTGGCTTCGAATTCAAAATTTTTCCTCCAGAGATGAGACATAAATTATCACTATAGAATAGATGTCTATTCTATTCCCCACAATATAAATCAAGCATTTTAAACCTTTTTCCATTTAAGTGATGTAAGTGGCACACTTGTTGATTCAAAATCCAAGCTGGGGTCCTTCCCTTATTATGGTACAAAAATCACTTCTTTCATTTAAGTGATATAAGTGACACACTTGTCGATTCTATATCTAAGTCGAGGTCCTTCTTTTAATATGCAAAGACTTAGTTAAATGAAGATGTGACATTATTCTGAATTTTCTACATCCAAGTTTAAACTTTCTTCCCATATTATCTTCTTTCTCAAAATGTTTGTGGTGAATAGGTAAGATATCTCCCCTTAAGATGACAACTTGTCTCTTATCTCAAACTCAATTCCACCCATTAGTAGGTGGAACTATGAACGCTCTAATTTCTCAACTTCCTCTTGAGAATACGTAGGCATAAGATTGCGAGATCTTAGCGAGCACAATAATAAGTAAAACCTTTAGGTTCCTACACCTTTTTCTTAATTTATTTCAACTTACCCTATAAAAACAACAACTGTCAACAAATCCCCAATACACTTAATCAATTAGTAAACACAAGAATATAGAACAGGTTCCTAAAGGATACTATAGATACTTAGGGTGCTAGTACTTTTTCTTAGTATAACCAATCCTGATTCCCAGTCTCTTATTGCATTGTTTTACACTTTGCACACTCAGGGGTTTATTTAGAGTTTCTCCATAACCTCCTTTTGGGATAAATTAAAAGTTCACATGTAAGAGGGCAACACCATTCAAAAAGAAAAAAATTGCTCGCGTACACACACCTGCTGAAATAAATCACAAGTTGGATTCTAATCTTGAAGGTGATGGTGTAGATGCTACAATTTTTAAGTAGTTGGATGGCTCTCTTAGGTATTTGTGTAATACAAGACTTGGTATTTTCTATGCAGTTCGAATGGTTAATAGATTCATGAGTAAACTGAAATGGTCTCATTACCAAGCTGTTGTCAGAATTATAAGGTATATTAAGAGACTCTCAAGTATGGAGTTTGTTCCCTTCTGGTGAAAAGGCTAATTCAGAGCTGATGTGTTACGCATAAAGAGTTAACAGAAGAAGTACTTCTGGATATTTATTTAAGCATTTGGGAGGTCCTATTTCTTGGTGTTCCAAGAAGAAACTAATTGTTACTTTGTCAATCTGTGAAGCAGAATACATTGCAAGTGTTGTGGCTACATGTCAAGCTATTTAGCTTCTGAATTTACTGTAGGATCTAAAGATCAAGGTAAACAAGTCTCTAAATGATGATTGATAACAAGTATGCAATCAATTTTGGTAAGAACTCAGTGCTTCTTGGGAGAGACCATCATATTGAGACTAAGTATCAGTTTCTGAGAAGTCAAGTTCATAATAGAGTGCTAGAGGTTATGCACAATAGCACCCAGAAACAGCTAGTAGATGTTATAATGAGAGCGATCAAGACTGATCAATTTTTCCACTTGAGAGATGTAATTAGTGTTTTTAGTTTTGATTAGCTAAATATGAATTAATGGATGATGTTAGAAGTAATCCAAATTTAATAGTAGTATTAGCTTTGTTAAGTCTAACCTAACTAGTGTAGGTTGGAATTGTTTCCTATGTAACAACTTCATTTGGGCATATAAACAAAGCGATGAAAAAAATTCATTTTAGTAAGGTCTTGAATGAACTTTTCTATTGTTTTTTTACATACATCCTTGAAACCTCAAAGTAGCTCGAGGAAGAAGGAGAATAGATAGCTTTTATTCTATCAAAAGATCAAACATAACTGAATTGAACTATAATAAAACATCATTCAAATCGAACCGAATTAAACTATTTCAATATATCTCGAACTAATCTGGACAAAATTTATTGATTTAGTATATTAGTTCAAAATTCTGAATCATATCAAAAGTTTGAAGACTTTTTTTACACACCAAACAATTTGTTTTAGAATTGAACAAATATACTTTTTTTTTATAAAAAAAATTAATTAAAATTTTAAATTTGATTTAATATTTTTCATTTTTTATTTTGATTCAGTTGGGTTAATTTGTCTCCCCCTTAGAGCATCTTTAATGGGAGTAAACTAAATGGGTAAACTAAGATATTTTTTGTGGGCCCAAAGTGTTTCGTAGGATTTAAAAAATTTATAGTTGATTTGAGTAGTTTTTACTTTAATGATGGTTGTCTATAAAAAACCAAAACTTGATCCCACATTTTATATTTTTTATTCAAGTTACCATTAATTTAATGCTGTTGAAATATTTTATTAATATTAAATAATATTATAATATGTTTCTCATTGAATAGTTAATGTTAATTATATAGATAATGAAAACTAAATTTTAGTTTGTTAAATGTCATGTTAACTTTATTATAATACAAATTTTTTATTCCTAACGTAAACTATACAAAATTTTGGTTTAACAACTCTGCGCTAAAGTTGCTCTAGAAGTAATAATAGAGAGATCCTAATTAATTTCAAAATATCATTGATTTTAATTACTTATTTATCTAGTCGCTGATTCCATTTCACAATAACCTAATCCTGATGAAAGATTATTCTCTAAATTAGCATGAATTGAAAGCAAAATAAATTTTCTTTTCCGTCTCAAAACTTGAACTCAACTCTCACAACTCTTTTATTCGTCTTAGTAGTCAACACTAACGATAGTGCAAAAGTATTGAAAGCAGTAATGCACACACGATAGACTCTTTATTCAATGAAACATCACATACACACAAAATGAAAAAACAAAAATACAAATGAGCATATATAATTAAAATTTTGGACTAAATTCGTCGTATCCATCTCATAAGATATGCATCATCAAGTCCATAAACACATTAAAGACAGGAAGTATATTAGGTCAAAATCCATTTTGAAGATTGGTGTCATAACCAAACGGAATTGTTTCATCATGTTCAGCGCTATTCATCATCATCTTCATAAACATGATGTCATTATTATTAACAGCCATCCCGACATGCTCATGACCCATCATTGCAATTTCATCATTATTAGGCTCGATTGGTGGCGGTGGCGGTGATGGTAGTAGTGACAGAGGTGGTACCATTTGGAGATGAACTTGATTTTCACTTTGATTTTGATGAATAATCATTTGATTGTCACCTGATTCCATCCTTCTACCAATCTCTTTCAGATTACGATCAATCATCCAAGCAAGATCATTCAAATCACCCAGCGACATATGGTTCGACACGGTGTTCGCAGCATAGAGACATTGAAACATGAGCATGGTTGTCTCTTGCTCTCTGTTGTCACTCCATTTCTTTTCAAGTTGTTTTTCAACCTTCGAAATCCTTTGTTTCAGGAAACTCTCTTGATTCACAATCTTTTTGCTTTGTCCGATTTCAGACGCTGTTCTGAATTTTGAAAGCACCTCTTGGACTCCAGATGGCGATGGCCAGATCACAGGTCGAGAATCGTAGGGGCCATAAATGATAGCACAAGCATCGATACCACAGAGGGTTGTGAGTTCATCAACCTTCTTCACTAAACTCTTCTTCCTTTTATTGTAAGTTGCTTTCCTTGCGCTATTATTCTCAATGAACGCAAGCTTCACCTTTGTTCTAGTCATGGTTTTGACTTAGAGTAAGATGAAAATTGATCGAGGAAAAGAAGAAAAGTTGATGGTTGTGAATTGTGATGTTTGTCATCGGAAAAATGCATTGAATATATAGAGACTAAATTCGATATACGTACGCGGTTAGATGTATGTGTGAATCGTTTTCCAACTGGCATTTTTCAAACGGTAAAATGTGTCTTTATTTTTATTCCATTTATATGGATATATAAAATCAAAGTGACATTTAGTATTCAACATATACAATGTATAAATAATTTAATTCACGTGGTTGGTATGTATTGTATCAAGAATCCTATTCTATAGATTCATGCACGTAATGTTCTAATAGGATTTTAATAGCTGTTATTACCATAAATTTGAAATATAGTATATATATTTACTATTTACTAATTTTTTTTTCATAAGTAAAATTTGAAATCTGAGAAATAATAAGGGTACTTCAGTCCAATTACAATAAAAAGAGAATTATAGCAACTCTCGAATCATAAACAAAGACTCAAGAAACAACACCAATCAAGAGAATTGTGACAGTTGTTATAGGATAGAGCAAATCACTTCCAAGATTTAAATTTAACCAAAAAAACCCAACTCCTTAACATCTACGAAAGCCCTGCAAATATGACTATTTTTATAGGACCAAATAAACCAACACATCCAAGACAACGCAATCCTATGCGGCATACCAACACCACTTATCTCAGGGATCAAACTTTTCATAAAGAAATTTGTAATTTTGTGACACATCAATTGCAACAGTTCCAATAAAGATACCATGAATCAAAATTGCAACATATCTCGTTAGACTTTCGATTAACTGCCTTCACATTTTTACTAAATGAATCTTGTTTCCACAAAAAATTTCATTTCCTTTTTCTTTCGGTACTACATATTTGATTTATATTAACATATATTTAATAACATTTTTATGTTAAACACTATTATAAATATTATAAAAAAAATCTATAATAGCGCTTTAAAATCGCGGACACTATCATAAATTATAATAGATTAAAAATTACGTGAATCTATAATAACGTTTTATCCTAAACGCTATTATAGACTGGAAAAAAAAATTTAAAAAAAGTTTCGGCCCTTTATTAAAGACAAATAAGAGGCTTAAAATTTTACCTTGCACTTATAATAAGATTTTTCCAAAAGCGCTATCTTATATAGATAGTTAAACAATAAAAATACAACATTTGTATGCCAATAAGTCTCAAACACCCGGTCTTCATGCACCAATAATAGCGCTTTAACAACAACAATATATTATGAGGAGATAAATTGTTTTTATGCATACTAGTAAGATATTCGTGCGACAACCCGTCTCGATCAATTGACTTTTGGGTTGCATAAAACATGATTATATGTTGGGCTCTTTAACATATTTGATAAAATGCCGAAACATAATAATATAAAATGAAACCACAACAAGATATTTTGACACAACTCAACGACAACGCCTAATTTCTGAAAGGTAAAAAAACTGTTCTCGAAGTGTTTAATAGAGAACAAATTTTAGATTTTGTTGCGGTAGTTTTTATATCTTTTTGAAAAATTATGCAACGACTAAAAGTTGTTGTTGTACATGATAGAGAGAACAATTTTTATTACTAACTTTTTAAAATTGCTCTTATATATATTTTTAAATTTTTTAATAAAATAATTATTATTTGAGGTCGTTCTCTTCAATTGGTTAAAATAAAATAAAAATTGTGAGAAATGCATTTTGCTGAAATCGAACCGAGGGCTTAAGTTAAAATAATAGCAGTTGTTCCCTTTTCTTCAGCATAAAATAAGTAATTACTTCAAAGCTAAGTGGTTTCATTCGTTCCCTTTAATTAGCGTAAAAACAAGTTACGTCGGTGTTAAAACAAATATCAAGTGAAAAATCAGAGTGATAAAAATGAAAATTCTTCCATTGTAAACTCATCAAAACCTCCATCGTATGATTTTTCAAAAGCTGAAACAAATATTGTCCAATGTATCTTCTCATAACCCCAACCGTAACCCTTTGTCCTGGTTCTATCCCAATTTTCCCTAGATTAATAATTTGATGCACTCACGCGACATTTGCATTATCTGTCTGTCATGACATGCATTTCTTTAAGCATAATGCCTAAAACATCAACCAAAATCAACTTTTGGTTTTTCAGACAGATCGGTTGAATCAATTTTCAATTACACGTAAAATTAACGGGTGTAAAATTCTGAGAAGCAGATCACAAATGTCCTAAGAGATGTCGAGGCATTGATCTCTGCTAAAAATCGAACAAGGATAGAACAAAAATAGTCTGTTCTTTTAAAATCAAGAACATTCTGAAACTTCAAGATCAAAATAATGTCATGACAGAGGTTTCAACATTTGTCAAAACATATACTTCAGAGCATAAGTACAAACTAAATTAATCATAACAGAATTATAAATAACATAAAGATATGATGACCCAGTTCAATGAACAACAACACCTAAATTTTGGGGCTACCAAGTTAGGAATGAATTCACTATCAGTAGTATTAATTGTAAGAATATAACCTTCGGTAACTTATCACTTAATTCCCTACACAGTGCAATTCTATCTAGAAACTCCATCTAGATAAGAGAAACCTATTTAAATCCCTAAATCACCTCAGTGATATCTAACAGTTACAATCACCGGCAACTGCATCAAATTATCCAATTGAAAGACACCCTTTCTAATACAATATTCAGTCAAGACTCTTGACTAACAATAACACTTGAATATGCTTAATAGCTTCATCCAAGAACAATATACAATTCATTACCTACAGTTTTCCGAAACTGTAAAATTATGTCTACCACAATGTATCAAACTTATACAAAGGGTGACTTACAACACAATAAAGTAAACGAGTCTCAAAATATTAAACTCTTATTTCTACTTTTAGAAAAGTCTTAATAAGAAATCTTATTCTACCCTAGGTCTTGGTCTTCCTTTTATAATCTTCAGCTGTCCATGGGCTTCAAAATCTTTATTTAATCATCCCTTGATCAATGTTCTGATTGCTCATTAAATCTTGGAACATATCTTCAATAACATCTTGTCTAACATGTTTGCTTTTAACATATTTCATCAATTTAGGACACCTTTTCTAACACCATATTTTACCAAAATCTAGTCAAATCTTTAGAGCCTTCAATCTCCCCGTTTTGACAAATTTTGCCTAAAACACCTTTTGCACTATAATCCTAGGAAGACACGGAGTAAAGGAGTAGAAAGTCTTAAAGTCATTTCAGCCAGCCTATGACGACTCTTGGAAGCTTTCATTCTTCTTGTCCAGCTGTATGGATGGTTTACATGGCGCATACCACCAGTTTTATGTCGTGTACCCTTTGACCTGATGTAATGAGGAAGAAGATCCACGAGACTCCCCCTGTCGCAACTGCGAAAAAGAACCGGCGGAAACTGTCATACCCTAATATTTGACCTTAAGATTTTGTTTTGCATCATCTGCATAGCATAGCATACACTTCATCTTGCATAGTATCCGAAATGTCAGTCAGAATAAATTTGTTGGATTTACAAACAAACCGGTCTTAATTTATTTCAAAAAAATGACCGAACGTTGTATTTTTCCAATATGTTTATTTCACGCTGATTATTTTGGTAAGTTCGTTTTATTTTTTTAGCACTTTTCTGCCCGACTTTTTATTTTATTTTTTAATCATTTTTATTTAAATGATTATTTAACTTATTTAGATTTAATTAGATATTTAATGTAAATTTTTATTTTTATTAATTAATTTTATTTTTAATTTCTTTATTAATATTTTCTTTAAAAAAAAAACATAAAAAAAATATAATTTTTAATTCTTGTCTTATCATAAAAAATATAAAAACATAATTTTTAACTCTTTTTATTCTTGTCTTATCATAAAAAAAACCAAAAACATAATTTTTAATTCTTGTCTTATCATAAAAAACATAAAAAATTGATTTTTAATTCTTGTTATTCTTATCTTATCATAAAAAACACAAAAATATGATTTTTAATTTATTTTATTCTTTTCTTATTATAAAAAACAAAAAAATATTGTGTTAATTGTTATTATCGTTCTTGTCTATTTTCTAGTCCTATATATATGCATTAGAAAAAAAACAAAGAGGACACACAAAAAAAAACACTCATACCTCATCTTCGTCACATCTAAACCGCAAAGTTTTTCACAAACCACGATGTGGCATCGAGAGAAAAAGAGCAAGTGGCAGCGTGTGAACAAAGGAGAGTTGTAGCAGCCGACATGGAGAGATGAGTAAAGTGCGAGTTGCATCAAATAAGGAGAGTGAGAACACAACAACTGAAATGAAGAATGGAGAGAATGAAACATACTTGGTAACATTGCAAACATTGTTTTTGTCTTTTTCTTTTATAACTTGGGTGGGCCTCTACTGTTTTGGCCCATTATTTGTTTTTTGTTTTTTCTCTCTCTTCATACCTATTAACTTAGTCTTGCACCCCCTTCTTTGAATTGAATTTAGTTTTATTTTATTTTATTTATTTATTATTATCATTATCATTATTATTTTTTATGATAAACTTTCAGATATAAAGTTTGTGAGGAATTTTATAAATTAATTAAATGTTAATTTGGTTTGAAACCTCTAACCTTGAAACTTAAATAATTAAAATCCTAGTTGATTGATTAGTTGATGTTAATTATGATTTGATTTATTAGTTGATGCTAATTGTGATTTTTATTCTTGCCAACGTTTTTTGAAACAATAATGGTTGTCCTGGTGTGCATTATTGATGTCTTGGATTACTACTCTTTTTTCAATTTAATTCCCGATTGACGAATCAAGATGGGTTTTAGGATGAAACTTTTGGCATGATAACTTTTAGGTTAGTTTCCCTTAGGATACTTTAATTTAGACAAGTTGCAAGTTAGGTTCCCTTTTCTCCTAAGAGAATTAGACAATAGTCATCTATTTAGTCGAGATATAATTCTCCTACCCCATAACATAGTC